GCATTGATGTCTGTCTGTTCTATACAAGCCCCCTCTCCTGCCCTTGATGCTGGCTACATTTCAAAAACTGGAGAGCCAGAGTATATTAAAATACCCAACTGAAATGGTAGAGTACAACAGGGTTAATGAAGATCATGTCTGTAAAAGCTTTCCACCTTGTATATGCTACTTCATCTGTTAACCTCAGTGTTCCCGTCTGGTGGAACTGGTGGCAGCCTGCCTTAAGGAGTTATTGTGAGAACTGTACAGATGTATAACCAGCACTGAGCACCAAGGCCTCATTCTGCGTGAGCACTTAGCACATGGTTCATTATTGTGATTATTGTTGGGTACCACCTCCCTGGGCCAGATACTAATCTTAAACAGCATCCCAGTCAGATGCTTATCCACTAAGGAGGGAAATAAAAAATTCTGGGCCATTTAAATGACATCCATGGCTATTAATAGTTACTTTATGTATTGAGAGAATATTTGCCATCTTGTATTTTCCATTCTTAGTCATATATCTGCTTCCTAGAGCTGTTGGAACATGACAGTTGTATATGGCAGTGTTCAGACACTTGAAAATAGTGATGTTGGCCACTCTGTTATTTCGTGTGTGTACACGAACGCACAACTTACTCAGGCAGAAGCCATAGGTTTAACACATCAGGTGTCTTTCTCACTTAGCTCTCATTTTTTGAGATTAGGTCTCACTGAATCTGGAACTTGCTGGTTTAGCTAGATTTGCTGTATAGCCAGCCCCCAGGATCCACCTCTCTTCAGCCCCCAGAGAAAATGCTTGAAACCAATAGAGATATTTAAAAGAGGGAAGGCTGCTGGGTGAGATGGGCTATAATATAGAAGGATTCTTTGGAGACTTATGATAGACAGGTGCCTCAATCTCCATTTCTCTGATTGATACAATGCATTCCAGCCACTACTAGTAAGAATTCTGCTGGCAGGTGTGAGCCACTCTAGAATTTTCTGTTTGTGTTTGTGATGACCCTGGCATTCCCCGCTGGATTCTGGTATGTATGCCTGGGACTCTGCTCAGTCCTCTCTGTTCTCTATGTGGTCTCAGGTCCTTGTCAAGTGGCCGTACTCTGTACAGCATCTGGGTCTCCACCCATTTGCCAGCCCACTGGTCACTTTTAGCCATCATGATAGGCACAGTCAGCTTTCAGTACTGTTTGTTTTTAATTGATTCTAAGTGGTAGTTGTAATAAATTATGCTCATAGGCTAATGATACCTTTCCTAAATTATGCCGTGGCGTTGGGTACAACAGCAGCAGGATTGCTATTTTAAAATGAGGTTTGGTAAAACAAACAGGCAGGCCGCTTACAGGAAATGCTGAGCTGATGATTAATTGATGTTCTGGAGCTAGCTTCTTATTCTCAGATGTGCCGCCCCTGTGATGATCCTGCAGTGAAGCTGCAGCCCACACCCTGGTTCCTTTCCAGAGAGCCAATGAGTGCTTTCTTTTCTGCCCTCTTGTGCAGAGAATGGGGATGCCTGACCCAATGGAGGCTGCAGGCTTCTAATACAGTACCAAAAGTGCCTTCCCATCCTGGGACATATGACTCCATCGTGTCACCACGTTAAGAGGGCTAATATTTAGGGACAAGGAAGAGAGTTTAGAAAATTATTTCAGACTAGTTCATGAAAACTGGACACTGCTGGCACATACCTGGGGCTTGTCAGTGTTATCCAGTTCCACCTGTATACTTGTGATGTGTCATCTAAGGTGTGAAATGGGTAGAAAGTTAAATATGTCTGAGGACATCTTTAAGTCATTGAAGAATGAATGGCATGTTTTTATAATCCCTGTAAGGTGGAGGCAAAAAAATAACCATGAGCTCCAGGCCAGCTTGGGCCACTTAGTGAGACATCATCATTGTTGGCAGCGGCAGCATTAACATTGTTTTTTGAAAAAACTGTAGCTGTAGCTCAGTTGATAGGGATTTTGTCTAGCATGTATAAGACCTGTGGTGACACAGCAAGTTTGATTGTCAGCACTCACACCACGTGGCTCACAACTTCAGAGGACCTGATATCTCTGACCTCCAAGAACACCTGCACTCACATGCACATACCCATACACAAGAATACAAGTTTATGTTTGTTTAGTTTTTTTGTTTGTGTTGGTGGTGGTAGTGGTTTTTCAAGACAGGATTTCTCTGTGCAGCCTTGGCTGTCCTGGAACTCACTCTATAGACCCAGCTGATATCCGCCGGCCTTAGCCTCCCAAGTGCTGGGATTAAATGTAGGCGCCACCATGCCCATCTCAATGTTGTTTTTGATTCCTGTCTTAATTTTTTAAAAAAATTTCACACCATGTCCAGAGTCTTTGATGGTCCTGCAAATGGTGGAGGGGTTTTCTTTAAATTCCTTACATCGGGAACCAAGTAGGTGGCCCCAACCTTGGCTGTGAACTAAAACAGCATATCTACAAAAGAAAAGGCGATGGTGTTTGCATCATAAATCTGAAGAGGGCCTGAGAGAAGCTCTGATGTCAGCATCGTCTCCAAGAACGGTGGCCACTCCAAGTCCTTGGTTTACCAGATCTAAGCAGCCTTCAGGAACTTAAGGAAGTCATGACTTCTGATGGTGACAGATCCCAGGGCTGACTGCCAGCCCCTCACTGAGGCGTCTTACATCAATCTGCCTACCATCACTGTGTGACTCAGATTCTCCTGCTGTGTGGACGTTGCTGTCTCATGCAACAAGAGAGTTCACTCAGTGGGTCTGATATGGTGGTTGATGGGCCCAGAAGTTCTGCACATTCATGGCACTATCTCCCATGAGTACCATCTCTGCAGGGATGCTGAAGAAGTCAAGAAGGAAGAACAAGCAGAGCTGAGAAAAGCTATTACCAAGGGAAGGATGTCTGGTCGAATGAACCCCACCAGCTCTTCAGCTCGCATACTGATCTGATGCTGTACGGGTGCCTCTTGCCACTGAGAACTCGCATTGCTCAGGCCACTAAATAAGTTACAACAACCACTTGAGCTGTTCTTCAGAAAGGAAGATGGATGGAAAAAAATTTTTCTTTTAAAAAAAAAAAGTAATAGAAAAGGGGGTAGGAAAAGGAACATTATTTAATACTCAAAGACCTCTCTCAAGTGCAAAATGAGAAGCACTGCAGAGGGAAATCCTAAGTGTGAATAGTAAGAAATAAACCTAGGTACCAGGCATTGGTGGTACACGCCTTTAATCCCAGCACTTAGGAGGCAGAAGCAGGCGGGTCTCTGCGAGTTCGAAGCTAGACTGGTGTACAAGAGCTAGTTCCAGGACATCTAGGACTGTTAACACAGAAAAACCTTATCTCGAAAATAAACAAAAAAGAGAAACAAGCCTAGGCTTTGGTGTGGTGTGGGGTGCTTTATGGTAGAATACTTGACCGGGGGCAGTTTCTCCCCACCACTGCAGAAACACCGCTTAAGGCTTTCTACCAATGAAAGCCTAGGAGAACCTAAACTAGAATGGAACTGTTTCTAGAGTCATTGTGTATACTGAGATCTTTAAGCTCCTGGTGCACTACATTCTTGTTTTGTGCTTTTGTTTTTATGGTGCTGGGGATCAAACCAGAGCAGGTGCTCTACCATTGATCTACACTACAGCTCCTAAGAGCTATTTTTTTTAAATACATGAACACACTGAATTTTATAGGAAAAGTTCTCAGGGTGCTCTGGATGTGAAAGAAGGGACAGTGTTTGTTCGTTTCTTTGGAGTCAAGAAAAGCTTATTGAATGCACAGCAAGGCAGCAACTGAGGTGAGGCACACTGCGCCTTCCTTTCTGCCTTCTGTGCCTCTGGCACTGGGACAGAAGCCCACTCATAGTGGCAAGTGTTCTAGCACTAAAGCACTTCTAGCCCTTTTTATTTATTTTGTTGGGTGTGGACTTAAGTGTTTCTTCTTCTACCAAGTGGGTTTCAGACATTAAACTCAGTCTGTCACCAGGTGGTGGTGATGGACGCCTTTAAATTTCATCACTTGGGATACAGAGGGAGGAGGATCTCTGGGTTCGAGGACAGCCAGGACTACACAGAGAAACCCTGTCTCAAAGAAAAAAAAAAGTTCAAACCATCGACCTTGGCAACGCCTTTGCCTACTGAGCTGTCTCTCCAAGCCCCATTCTGGCTTTCTGAAACAGGATCTCATGCATGGAGACCTAGAACTCAGTATGCCTGGCTGCTTTTTTTTTTTTTTTTTTTAAATCTTTATTTTTAACAGAAAAACAGGCTGGAGAAACAGCTTAGCAGTTAAGAACATTGGCTGCTCTTTCAAAGAACGTAAGTTTAGGCAGTTCACAACTACCTATAATTCCAGCTCCAGGGCATCCAGTGGCCTCTTCTGTATGCTATAGGTACTGCACTCATGTGACATATGTACACATATACAAAACTAAGTTGTGTTTTTTTGGATTTTTTTGTTTTTAGATAAAAGTAAAGGAACTGGAGAGATGACTCAGCACTTAAGAGCACTGACTACTCTTCCAAAGGAGAACCTGGGTTCAATATTCCAGCACTGTTTTTCTGGCCTTCATTGGCACCAGGCATATACCCAGAAAAAATTCTCATACATACAAGTTTTCTTTTTTAGTAAAATACTGTAAACGACTACATTAAAACGTGGGCGGTGTTGGCGGGGTGTTGTGATACACTACACACTCAGAAAGCAGAGGCAGGTGGATCTCTGGAGTTTGAGGCTAGCCTGGTCTGTATATCAGGTTCCAGCAAGTGCTAAGCCAAATGTAGAAGCAAACACATTTCTAGCACTTGGAAACTGGAAGCAAGAAGATGAGGAGTTCAGGGCCAGCCTGAACTACATGAGCCCTTGCCTTTAAAGTAAAAGGAGGGTGGGACCCAGTACTGTGGTATTTTAAGTGAAGCATCAGCAGGAAAGCACTGCTAGCTCTGTTTCTCTGTTGTAGTGGGAACCTTGTGACCTCCTCAGTCAGCCCCTGTCCTGCTCTCCAACTCTGGTTCATGGGACCTGCTTATTCTTTCTCCACAGGACTGAGCACTGAGGGCATCTACCGGGTCAGTGGGAACAAGTCAGAAATGGAAAGTCTGCAGAGACAGTTTGATCAAGGTGAGTCCCAGCCTGGCTGTGCATTACCAGTCTAAAGCAGAGCCATGGCTGCATTGCCAACAGGGCCTGGGTACTCCTGCCTCAGACACAGAGGCCACGTGTGCCTCCCTCCCCCTGCCGTGGGATGCCAGGTCTGTCAGCATACTGTCCCTGCCAAGGCTTTCCCATTGCCATCCACAGCCACCATTAGAGGTTTCCCTGGCCCTGACTCACTTCTGGAAGGGCCTTGTCTTCCTGAGTTGGACCCAGGGAATTAATGATCCAATACTTTTTGACAGACCAGAGATGTCTATATCAACCACAAAATGGCCCTGTGGGAGAGAAAGTGAAGCAACATTTCAAGATAACTGAGGCACTGGGCTTAGACATCTTAGTCACACCAGCTTTGGGTGTGACTAACCTGCTCCTAAGTTGTGAGAGGTCAAGTGTGAGAGGCTTTCAGCTAGCGACTCAGCTCTTAATTGGAGAAGTGCCCACGCTGAATGCCAAGCCATGCTACTAGGCCAGCAGAACAGTGAATACTCTGCTCTCAACTTTCAGCAGCCAATAGGGAAAAGTGGAGGTTACAGGAGGGCCAGCTTCTGGAACAGCCAACTCACCTGCTGCTGTCATGAGCCACTTGAAAGTGATGCCTTATAATCATGTGCCACTATTTGAACATCAAGAGTGTGTTCTTCATTGGGCAAGTGTCACATAGTACACTTACAATAAGCCACATAGAATTTTCTTAGAGGACCTTTGCTGACCAGCGTGGTTTTGTGGTACATGACTGTACCTGTAAAAATCTGAACAGCTGGTAGTCCAGAAAGGGACACTTGCGGGCCATCTGTAACAAGTCCTACAGAATCGTCACACAGTGAGGCTAGAAAGAGAAGGAAAATGGGAAAATGAGAAGAGAGTTCAGTGGAGTTATGGGCTGGGAAGAACCAGGGGGATGGAAATGGTGAATTCTTCCTCCCTTCATCAGGATCTGAATGAGACAGTGACCACATGGCTGGCAGAAAGGGAAGTAAGGTGGCGGGGAGCTGAAGCTCATCAGAACCCAGTGGGATGAGCAGGTAGCCTGGGGGACTAGAGGAAACCTCTCCAGTCATGTCTGTGAACCCAGGCTGCCAGCTCCTCTGTAGTCTGTACCCTGGGCAACATCTAGAAGCTTTTCTGTGACCTTTCTGGTGGCTTCTGGTAACCTAGATGGATCTGGTCTCACTTCTTGACTTGCTTTCAGACCACAATCTGGACCTGGCAGAGAAAGATTTCACTGTGAACACTGTGGCAGGGGCCATGAAGAGTTTCTTCTCAGAGCTACCAGACCCCCTAGTACCATACAGCATGCAGATTGACCTGGTGGAAGCACACAGTGAGTACAGCAGCTGGAGAGAGACTCCAGACAGCCCTGCCTTTTTGACAGAAACACTTTTCTGAGTGTTCCCCCAAGGCAGCTGCAGGTCCCCAAATTTGTCATCTGACTTGGATGCCATCCCTGTCCCTCTGCTATGGCTGACTCTCCATGTCTGCCCTTAGTTTGCTCCTTGGGGTAAAGCTGAAACTTCTGTTCTAAAGTAGATTATCCTGGACCCTTTCCTTCTGCCTCATATAGGGCAAACCCATCATCTGAGGCCATACGTCTGGAAAGATGACTCAGTGTTTAAGAGCATGGGCTGCTATTCCAGAGGACCCTGGTTCAGTTCTAGTACCTATATGATGGCTCACAACCATCTATATCTGAAATCTAACACTCTCTTGTGACTTTCTCTCTCTCTCTTTTTTTTGGTTTTTCGAGACAGGGTCTCTCTGTAGCTTTGGAGCCTGTCCTGGAACTAGCTCTTGTAGACCAGGCTGGCCTCGAACTCACAGAGATCCACCTGCCTCTGCCTCCCGAGTGCTGGGATTAAAGGCGTGCGCCACCACTGCCCAGCTCTCTTGTGACTTCTAAGAGTGCCAGGTATACATGTACTGCACAAACATGAATGCAGGCAAAACACACAAAATAAAATTAATAAATCTAAAAAATTTTAAGAGAAGAAAAGTACTGAGGGTTGGAGGAAAGCTAGTGAAGGTTACCTCCAGTGGCCTTAGCCAGAGGATCACAGGGCTCTGCAGCACATAAGTAACTCCAGGATTTTTTGTTGGTTGTTTGAGGTAATGTCTTAGATATTCCAGGATGCCCTCAAACTTCTTATCATGCTGCTTCTACCTCCCATAGACTGGCATTATGGCATGTGCTACCATACCTGACTTAGAACCTCTAGTTTTAATGGCAGTATTTAGGGCAGCGGTTCTCTACTTGTGGTTCACAACCATTTTAGGGGGTCAAACAACCCTTTCATGGGGTTCCCATATCAGATATTTACATGACAGTTAATAGTAGCAAAATTACAGTTATGATGTAGCACAGAAAATAACTTTATGGTTGGGACATCACATGAGGAACTGTATTAAAGGGTCGCAGCATTAGGATAGTTGAGAACCTGTGCTCTAGGATGACCATTGTGTGGGATGCTTTCTTATTGTCTGGGTCTGTCATGTGTCATGAAGGCCCTGGCCTCTTGGAGCTGTCACTACAGGGCACTTAATATTATTATTTAGCCAGAGGAAGCCTTTGCCCTTGTGAGAAGAGAAGGTAAACCCAAGGGAGAAACAGCAACTCCTCCACAACTGTTGAAAGGAGTATCCCTTTGTGGGTTCGTATTCTGGTCTAGCTCATCACTACCCAACTCAAGCAGTGTACTCTCAAGACTGTGGTAAGGTTATAGGTCAAGGGCTCCCATTCCTGAGTCCCTGCTCCTCAAAGGAAGCTATCCCAGCTGTGGAGGGTGCAGGGCTCAGGTTTCCTGCTCACAGCCTGTTTCCACATCCGCCAGCCATTCCTTTTTGCCCATTTACCTGGGAGTTGGTACCCGTATCAGACTCATGCTGTCTCTCTAAGGGAAGTTAGAGGAGGTTCACTGGTTGGTACCCAGCTGTCAAAGACCTAGTTCTCACATTTGTCTTGACCTGGCACCATCTAGAGGCATGTCGAGTACTGGCACCCAACATAATGCCATTGTTTCTTGAAACAGCTGACATGGCACCTTTTTGTTTGTGGAGGGCCAGGAGAGGGTGCTGCTGATAGGGGGCCCACTTCCCTTCCTCCCAACGCTTCTGCCACCCACTCTGTAGGTTCCCACAGCTCATAAGGAGACTGTATAGCAGCCTGGAAGGGTGGAGTCTCATAGCTTCCTCTCCATTGTATGCTTTCTGGGCCCTGATAGTCAGCTGGGCCATCTCTTGTCTGTCCTTTCTTGATAGCCTGACAGAAGAGGGTAGAGAGAAAGGGATCTCACTGACACAGCACTTCACAGTGGAAGCAGCAAGTGGAGCATGGGGCTCTATTGATTGAGGTGGTCTTAGCTGAGTCAGATACCAGGCAATGAAAAAGTTGTGTCAAGGAACATAGTAGACGGAAGGTTGCCATGCTCTATAGTATCACAGGTTTCCATGGCAACAGCAACTTGACCAGTTCTTTTCACTTACTGCCTCAGAGTACCTATGTCTGTGTATTCAGGCTTGCATGCGGTTCCACATCCCATCACAACAGATAACAAGGTCATTGTCTGATTGTTGTGTAAGCATCAGAATTTCACAATATTAAACACTACTGGAGTGCCCACCAGGGGAATCTGTGTGACTATTTGCCAGTTGTCTTTCCAGCTTAGTCAAGGTCACATGGAGACTCAGGCACCAACAGCGATCACAGATTGCTGCTTGCTGTGTGCAGCAGGCTTTGCTGGGTATTGGTGTGTGCTCTTAGTCACCAATGAGGTAGAGGATTGTCTCTCCATGGTACAGAGGAGCCCGAGGCTGTCAGAGTGACACAGTTTGGCTGGAGGCCCAGATCACACGACTGGGGACTGGCAAGCTAGAACTTGAGTTCCTGCTTTCACTGGTTGGAAGCTGATGTTCTCTGTAGACCGACCCAAACAAACTGAACTACAAGTGCAAAAAGTTCTGTGATGGGGGAGAGGCAGGGAGTAGTAAGAATGGGGAATCATAAACTATGGCTTTAGGCAGAAGTTTGAGTTCTAAGGCAGCAAGTGGGGGGCTCTGTGTTCTCCCTTCTCCTACACCTCATTCCAACCAGACTTGTGTCCAAGCTGTATGTTCTTTCCTTCTCCTCTTCTCCACCACCAATCCCTTCCCTGACCAGAGTCCTTGTCCATCTGCTCCCCGCAGGCTTCCTATGGCTTTGTACCAACAAGAGACCTAGCACTAGGCCCACCTTGGGTATAGGATTCCAGGCCAAGGACCTGTAGCTGCCAGTGCTTGGTCATCCAAGGGATATTGTTCTCAATGCAGCCTTATCATCTACCTTTTCCAGTAGGCAGATGAGGCAGCCAAGGTTTGGGGATAGGTGACCCTCACTATCCTGTAGGTTCTTATTCCCATTCTGTCTTAGGTTGTTGCTTTCTCTTATCTGTCCACATAACTTCTCAGAGATGCTATGTACCTCACTACAAGTATATGCCTGTGTAATGGGCCCTGTGTGGACAGAGACACATAGCAGTGACAGACAGGATATGGTTTCAACTACAGTCTGGTAGAGAAGGAACACTGCCCAGCTTACTGCGTGATCATGCCTCCAGAATAGTCTGAATTTTCTATTCTTAAACCAAGCCGAGGGTGGTCCCAGTCTTGCCTTAGCCTTAATCTTGTGTGCCACATGGGAGGAAGACAGGGACTCACCTGGGGCCTGCCTACATTGCTCAAGCCTCTGCCCAGCTTTCTCCTTTTCCAGTAGCATAAATATGCAGACGGTCAGCAACCTCCACTCTAGGCACTGAAGGGAAAACAACAGTTCCCAGCCTGGAACTCGGCTGGCAGTAAGCAGCCAGAGTGGGGACAATGGGAATCAGGGTCCTTGCCAGGTTTTATGGCCAAAATGAGTTCTTATACCTTTTTGTTTTTCCTTAGTTTGGGTTTTTGTTGGTTTGATTGATTTGGTTTGGTTTTCAAGACAGGGTTTCTCTGTGTAGCCATGGCTGTCCTGGCACTCACTCTGTAGTCCAGGCTGACGTTGAACTTAGAAATCCACCTGCCTCTGCCTAACCGAGTGATGGGATTAAAGGTGTGTGCCACTAATGCCCAACTAGTTTGTGTTTTGTTTGGTTTCTTTGTTTTATGTTGTTTTTAGACAAAGTCTCCTATAGTCCAAGCCACCCTCAAACTCTGAATTCTCTTGTCCCAGATTCTCTAGTGCCTTTTAGAGCCCTGGTTTGTGTACACTCTAAGGGTGTTTATAAGGTCCCTGATAGACCTGACTTCCTCTCCTCTTACTTATGGGTTATGGGTTCCTGAAGACTCAGATTTTAGCAGCTGCATTGTGTGTATGTAGACTTCACCTGAGTGCCCCATTCCCTTCCTTTCACTGGACAAGAACGGCAGGGAGTCTACAGCAGAGAGCAGAGCTGAGATCCAGCCCCACTTTCTGCCTGGATGTCTGCTGAGGATTACACAGAGAGCATCTGGGAAATGGTCCTCCAGGCCCTATAACACCATGCAGATATAAGCATCCTCTGTCTCCCAAAAGACAAAGGATCCTAAATGAAATCTCATTGCCAGGCATGGGATACCTCCCTGAGTTACTGGTCAGGGAGGCATCCAGAACATCACAGGATATTACCATAATGGTTGATTGCTCACCATAACTCAATAAGATCCTGTTGTTGAACCTCACCTGAGCAGAAAATTCTGCTGGCTATTCTGCATAGTGCTAGAAGGTGCTTTGCAGGCTACTGTGGGAGAAAGACATCAACAGTTTCACCCAGCATTCAACCCTGCCTGTTACAATACCATCCTGCCACCGGGCAGTGGTGGCGCACGCCTATCATCCCAACACTCGGGAGGCAGAGGCAGGCGGATCTCTGTGAGTTCGAGGTCAGCCTGGTCTACAAGAGCTAGTTCCAGGACAGGCACCAAAAACTACAGAGAAACCCTGTCTTGAATTATCAAAAAAAAAAAAAAAAAAACACCCATCCTGCCTGGCAAGGTGTGTCCATTGGTGCAATGGTGTCCTGACAGTTGTGGCTCAAACCAGCTTCTTTTTGATTGGGTATGGTTAGATATTAGCCTCCTCCACAGGAAGAAGCTCGTGCTAGGTACTGACTGAGAAGAGGATGGGCAAAATAAAAAAGGGCAGTGGTGGAGTGGGATCTGTCTTAGTGGTACACTGTTTGTCTAGCATGTGCAAGGTCCTAGGTTCCATCCCCAGCACCTTAAGAGGGAGGAATCAGCCATGCTTTAGTTTGGCCCAGAGCCAAACTTGGCTAGGAAGATCCCCTTGTGGTCCTCCCACCAAACACTTGGTGCTCCTCAGTGTTAATGAGTGCAGGGACCAGCAGAAAATCAAACAGGTGAGAGAGGGAATATAGGTCAAGAACCATCTAGGCCTTTCTTGGGTGTCTGACTTAAGAGTTCACAGGAGGGGGATGAGCTCTCCAAGGGAGGGGCATGAATGAGTATCAGAAGGGCTCCCCAGGGCTGGAGAGATGGCTCAGAGGTTAAGAGCATTGCCTGCTCTTCCAAAGGTCCTGAGTTCAATTCCCAGCAACCACATGGTGGCTCACAACCATCTGTAATGGGGTCTGGTGCCCTCTTCTGGCCTGCAGGCATACACACAGACAGAATATTGTATACATAATAAATAAATAAATATTAAAAAAAAAGAAGAAGAAGGGCTCCCCAGGAAGAAAGAAAGGACACACCTGTTTCTGCTCCTCGGGTGGGAAGGCCAGGGCTGTTTCCTGCATGAGACTGCTGTCTAAGATACTGCTCCACAGGTGCCTGATGAAAAGAGACACAGCTGTGTTCTGTGTCACAGGGTACTGTAGGGACCTGGGCAAGCCTGCATCTGAAAGGGGTGCACTAACTCTAGTCAGTGAAAGTGAGTCTTGCTCATGATTCTCATGTGCTCTTACGTAGTCAGTCATTCATCCTCCCTCCCCGTTGCTTCCTCATGCTAAACAGACTTCTTACTGAAACACCACAGCAAATGATTTTAAAACTCGGGGCTATGGATTATCCATGGAGGCTGAACCACTGAAGCAACTCTTGGGTTAGAAACTGGCACTGACTGGTTCACCTCAGGTCCTGTGACTTCCGTCATCTTACAGGCAGACAGGTTCTGTTGCTCAGGTTTCCTGCAGGTGCCTACCTCTGAGCTTACCTCGAACCTCTCGCTGCCTCCAGTCTCTATTACAGACAGGAGACTGAGTGGCCCTCAGGTGTCACTTGCCCAGGTTCACAGATTCTGGGTGCTTGACAGGATTGGCACCCAGATCAGGGTTGAGTCAGATTTGAGCTCTGAACTGCAACCAGTTTGCACCATACTCCTGTGTGACGCACCCAGTTATGGCCTGACACGTCTTCTACTGTAAAGGTTCCTAGTCAGGAAGCCAAGGCCTTTTGTTAACTGAAAATAAATTTGTTTTGTTTTGAGACAGGGTCTCATTATGTAGTTCAGGCTGCCCCAGAACTCACTAACACATTATGTATACCACGCTGGACTCAAACTCACAGAGATTCCCCCTGCCTCTGTCTCACAAGTACTGAGATTACTGGTGTGTGCTACCACCCACCCAGGTAGATTTTATTTTTAGTGCAATATTTTAATTATAGTTTCTCTTCCTAGATCTTCCTACTTCCCCGCCCTTTCTTTCTTTAGAAAACAGTCATCTAAAAAAATAATAATAAATTAAAAACAAATCAGAATAGGACAAAACAAACTAGCAGAAGAAAAAAGCGAAAGAAAAAACTCAGGAAACAAACACAGAGACACACACAGAAATCCCATAAAAACATGGGACGAGAAACCATAATGTGAATGGGAAGGACTTGTTGTGGGCAGGTGGGGCTGACAAAGCACTGGGAGACAACCTCCAGAAATGCCATCTACTGCTGGTCATGGGATCTGCCCTGAAGAGTGATTTGTACACCCAGTGAGACGCTGATAGAGAAAACCATGATTTCATTTGTGAGCAGTTATCAATTGAAATAGCTTCTGGGTTAGGGATGGGGCTTTCTTACCCCATTTTTTTTTAAAAAAAAACTTTATTTAACTTTATTTCATGCGCATTGGTATAATGATGTCAGATTCTCTTGAACTGGAGCTACAGACAGCTGTGAGCTGCCATGTGGGTGCTGGAAATTGAACCCGGGTCCACTGGAGGAGCAGTCAGTGCTCTTAACCACTGAGCCATCTCACCAGCCCCTCTTACCCCATTTTTAATCATTATATTTTGCTGTTGTTGTTGAGACAGGGTCTCATTCTGTAGCCTAGGCTAACTTCAAACTGACAATCCTCCCACTTGAACGTTCCAGGGACTGGGGGGCAGAGATGCAGACTGTCATGCCCCACATGACCTTCACCTGGGAGGCATGGTGTGCTGAGTCTCTGAACCACCAGGAGTTTGAAGCAAGAAGATATGGCAGTTTTAGTGGTGTCCAAGGAGGCTGTGCCCAATAAAACTAAAGCCATTGTAGTTTGTTTTTGTTTTGTTTTGGGGGCTTGTGTATGTGTGTGGCGTGTTCACTCAAGTGGAGGTCACCAGACGACTTACAGGAGTTTTTCTACCCTGTAAGCCCTAGCTCAAGTCATCAGACTTAGCAGATAGAGCTTTTACCCATAAGCTACTCTGCTAGCCACTGTCAACCCACACTTGAGTGGCCATAAAGATCTCTTTGCATGTACAGAAAAATGTGGCTTGATCAAGTGTTACTCTTAATGGAATCTAGACCATTTTTGCCTCCCTGCAGAATGAGCCAAATTCAGCTCAGTTCTGCAGCTGGTCAGTTCAAATCCCTACTTCACAGACTTTCTGTTTCCTTGTTCTCCATCCTCAAAACAGGGCAGATTGTAGAGATGACTGACCTGGCCTGGCATGGATGACATGCTTCCTGTCACAGCATATTAGTGCCCTCAGTGGGCACAGTAGGCAGCAGTAAGAACAGGGGCATGTGGTCCCTTTGATGAGCTGCATAAGAATCGCCCACTGTCTGCATCAGCCCCTCCAGCAGTGCCATGTGCAAAGCTCCTCATGTCTGCAGGGAAGGACAGAGCCCTGGTCTTGTAACAGACCCCCTCCTTCCATGGTCTGTCAGTGTGGGTGGGTGGCAGTGCCCTCCCGTCTGGCCAGGAAGCAAGTGGTCTTTCTGCATCGGGGTGCCTGTCTCCAGGGGCAACCGATGAGCAAAGAATGGTGTTCTTTATGGTAGAGTCTGTGGATGGTTTATCTTGGGGGGCATAAGGGGGGGGCAGGAAGCCCAGGCATACAGTACTGTCCTTCAGCAGGGGCCTGGGACATAGAAGTGGCCTGGACCCCAGTCCAGGTGTGCAACCATGGATGCAGACTCCGGGCATGAGGGTGGAATGGAGCTGTTAGAAAGCCCTGGGCTGCCCTCCCAGAGGGTTGCCAGAGTACACCTGGAGTGACCACCAGCTGCTGCATAGCTACTTTACACCTCCAGAACACCCACCAGACTTAACCCTGAAAGCCTTTCATTTCCTCTCTCAGAAATCAACGACCGAGAACAGAAGTTACATGCTCTTAAGGAGGTGCTGAAGAAATTCCCAAAGGAAAACCATGAAGTCTTCAAATATGTCATCTCCCACCTGAACAAGTAAGTATCATGCTGCTGGGTAGTTTTCCTCCTGTAATAAACAGGCATCTTGAGTTAGTTAACCGAGGGAGAGGAGAAGGCCAGCAGGGTCCACTCACTGCTGCAGTGGCCAGTGGTATAGCCAAGGGCCCTTGGCATCCTTAGTTTCCCTTCTAACTCTGGCTCCAGCCCATGCGGGGAGTTTTTCTGGCAGGTGCTGGTGCCTTTAGAAACTTCCCAAAAGCAAAAATTCCAAGAGCTTCTCACAGCTGCTCCTTGTCCATGTCTCCATACTGGTGTGAGGCAGAACATATATCAGGAGAGGTGCCTTGCTGTAGAATAATCGTCATATGATTAAAGCACTTAACCAGTGCCCAGGTTTGTCTGCTCATGGTGGACCTGCAGAAGGGTAGTTACGCACTGATTTTCTGCCCATCCCAAACATCACCACTTTGGTTGATGGTCTATGCACTACACCTTCCAGGAACATGTGGAGCCTCCGTGTATCCTCAGCCTCTGCACTCTGTGGCTCCTTAGAGCTAGTGGCAGGATCAGCCCAAGGGTTAGGAGGCAGGGAAGCCCTGTGCACATCTGACCTGGCTTTGCTGTCACCTGCAGAGTCAGCCACAACAACAAGGTGAATCTCATGACCAGTGAGAACCTGTCTATCTGCTTCTGGCCCACCCTGATGAGGCCCGACTTCAGTAGCATGGACGCTCTCACAGCCACACGCTCCTACCAAACCATCATCGAGCTCTTCATCCAGCAGTGCCCCTTCTTCTTCTACAACCGGCCCATCAGTGAGCCTCCTGGAGCTGCACCTGGCTCCCCCTCAGCTGTGGCTCCCACTGTCCCTTTCCTTACCTCTACACCTGCTACCAGTCAGCCGTCACCTCCCCAGTCACCTCCTCCAACCCCTCAGTCCCCAATGCAGCCATTGCTCTCCTCTCAGCTCCAAGCCGAACACACGCTGTGAGCCACCACATCCAGGAGGCAGGAAAACCAGTCATCTTTTTGACAGGATGGCATTTGGCCTTGAACAAAATCAGGTCCCCTGGGCTGGAGGTCGCAGCCAAGCGCCTTTTAAAGACTTCAGTGGTGGCACTAGCCAGTGTCCGCCATGGCTGGGCAGTCGAGCACCCTGCAGCCTAATCTTCACCTGGTACTGGCTGTGGCAAGCTGTGGGGCCCTGCCTTTGGCCTAACCACTCTGAGGACTGAACTGACCAGACAGCGGCCCCAGTACCCTCACTGCTCCCTGGACCCCTTGCCCAACCTGTCTGCCTGCACCAGCGTCAGGGCCCCATCATTGGGACATCACCCCAGCCTCTGCCAGGGGCAGAGGTTATACCCCAGCAGGGCTGGCCCCTCTAAAGAGGACACCTCCCAGTTTGTCCTCTCGCATTTTCCATACCTACACAAACCTGCAAAGGGGTCCTTGGGAACCTGTGGGCTCTGGCTCTGCTACCCCACAGTACACACAGGGCACTGGCATGGCCCACAGCACAGCAAGAAGAGAGCTTTGTGCCTAGACCCAGTGTGTGGCTTCCCTCCCAACTCCTTTCCAGGCTTCTGCTCCATTCCCTGCAGCAAAGGAACACTGGAAGAAAGATGGAACCCCTCCACAGAGACAGACAGCACAGGAAGAAAATAGACCTCAAGTTTCCACTTCACCTGCCAGGTGGCCACTGGGTAAAAAGCCCTTTGTCTGTGTGTGACAGCAAAGTAAGGACACCTGGACAATGGCTGCAAACCCACTGGGCCCCCATAGGTCCACCCCCTGAGAAGACAGAGCCTTTGGAGGAATTATTGGCAAGGTCCCTACCTGACCAGCACACTATAGAAACACTACATATATAGAAAAACTACAGGTGTATACACACAGCACCCAGGTTGGTGTGTTTGATGTTAAAGTGGGGTCCTTTTATCCCATGCTGTAGATGTAACCAGCAAGGGTGTCTGGGACATGGGCAGGTATGGCACCTTCCAGAAATGAGCATCTGGTTATACACAGAGGATCCTGTTCTCAGACAGGGGCACTGTACCTGGCTTGTCACAACCCTATACTGACCCAGTTTCACCACTTCCTCCCAGCAGCCTCTACACACTCTGCTCCTGGTGTGGCAGCCCTAATTGGCTCCTGCCTCTGCCTCTGCCTCCTACTTTAATCTTAGCACTGGGCCATGAAACCTGACACTAAGGTACCCTGGGCATAGGAGGGGCATGGGTCACACAGCACTATCCTGGGTCTCACCGTTGCACTTTAGAAACAGCATGTGGGTATGTTTCCAGGGGCCCCAGGTGGACTTCCACCCTGCCTTTACCTCTGTAGGGTAGGAGGATGACTGGCCCTTGGCAAAGGGTCCTGTCCTAGAGAAGCTGAGTGTTCCTATCTCTAGTACTTGGCAACATAAGGTGCTTGCAAACACTACGCTGCCCCTGCAAAGTATAATCTCCAAGACCAGACAAAACCCAAGGTACAAATGTGTTATATGTAAATGTTTTCCCTCCTGAGGGTCTGTTTTGGGTGCTGTAGGCCTGGGGTCAGCAGGAACATAATGTGGGTTGCGTCCACTAAGGTCACAGACAGTCCCCTGCCCTGACTTCATGCCCCTTGCACCTCACTATTAAAATGACTTACATTCAGTAGTTTCTGTGTTGGGTCTTCAAAGAAATGGAGGTGGAGCCATCCAACTGTGAAGAGTTGTGACCCAAGCCACCCTCCTATGAGGCTGCTGCATGTGCCTATGTAATGTCAGCAATGGGTGGCAGACTGAGAGGGGCAGGCACATGGCCAGGAGAACCCAGCTCAGATCCTCACCTTGGCAGACACCAGGCTGGAGCACGTCATTCCTGCTTCAGGTACTCTGAGTGACCTTTCCGCTCATGGCAAGGCAACCTGGGACCTACAGAAGGGAGAGCACTCAGGGCTTGGGTGGCCAGGTCAACTGCTGCCCTACTCAGAAAGCAGCCCTGGAGGTGACCTCAGCCTGGTGCCACCCAACAACAACACAGTTCCCAAGGCTGGGTTTTGTGCTGTACATTGGGTGGTGTACAGTCCTTCAGCACTGTCCACCCTTCTTATCTCGGCCTTTTAAAGGACATGGAAAGTTGTGGTGCTGGTCTGCCCCATGCTCTCCATTCTCCCAGGAGAGGCAGGCAGAGCAGCGGCAGTCTTGTAGAACCTTCCCAGTCTCTGCCACTGCGGGGGGTGTGGGGTGTACCCTCCTGTATTCTGTGCCTCCGCCCCTGGTCTAATGGGAGGAATCCCGGAAGGCCTGCATTCCCCCAAGGACCCCACAGGGTACCTTGTGCTCTGCCCCCAGACCCTCAAAACTTGACAGTGGGCCAGCTGCAATCCTCATTCCCCAAAGTCATCTACAGGTGGCAGGTCGGGGGGGGGGGGGTTCTCCATTCCACATTACCCACATGTGCATGGGGAAGGTCGGGGATGAGCTAGGTCAGTCCAGGACTGTACCAGCCAGGGACCTCACAGGCCAAGGTGAGAGGCCCTAGATGGTCCCTTACCCCAGCCATGAAGCCACCCGAGTAGTGGAGCCAGGACATAAGTTATTGTTCACATTAAAGAATCATGTTCCCTGTGTACATTTTAAGCAAAGGAAACGTCTCGGGATTGTATGGGAATAAAACTTGTTTGAAAATTTGGAATAGTGCTGCTGTGGCTTCTTTTCCTGGTGTTTGTATTTTCACGTTACATGATCTTTATATGTGTTGGATTAACAAATATTTTAAGTTTCCTGGGAACAAACAGAAACATTAATGATATTGAAGTGTGTTAGTCTCGCCGTGTGCCCAAACTTCTGTTTTGCAGCGAAAGTGGGAACCTGTCTGTAAAGCGGATGTAACGATGATTTCCTGTGTCGTGGTGGCTCGAACCAGGACCTCTCTAGTTGGCTTTAGGAATGGCTGCTTTATTTCCAGCCTTTTTTTTTTTTTTTTTTTTTTTTTTTTAAGCAAGTCATGGGTTTTCCGAGGCTCCTTCCTGTTCAGTGCATGGGCAGCCGTCCTGGCAGCCAAAGCATCTTTGACTGAGGTGGTTTTTGTTTGGTTTTGTTTTTAAAATTATGTATTTGCTATGAAGTATTGTACTTGTCTCAATGGGAATGGTGTTTAAAAAATGAAAAGGCCTTATGTGATATGTACCATAGTTAATAAAATCAATCTTGTAAAAAAAAAATTAAACACAGGCCTGAAAGAAATGAAGGGGCTGCAGTCTCCAGCACAGCCTGGGGGCCAATTAGGGGCAGCCCTGCCCTCCAGTGCCCCATAGGATGGAATTCTGGGGGCTGCAGATGGCCGGTAGCTTTGAGGAAATCCTAAGCTAGAAGCCTAAAAGCTACCCTCCTGCCAGCAGAGGGTTACCATCTGCCAAGATAGTGTTACCAGGAAGGGCAAAGAAACTACCACCAAAAACATTTCCACCCACCCCTGAAAATGTTGAAAGATAACATCGTGTCATCCTAGAACCGGGTGTCCTGAGGCAGGAGGATTTCAAGTTTAAGCTCAGCTTGGGCTAGCTGTGGGAGGTCTTGTCTGTTATGTGTATGTACACACACAAAATCATCCATGCTGGATCTACTTTACCTGTTAACTCCACCTCCCAGATGCTATTGGAGACCTTCGGACCTTTGGTTTGGGGAGATGGAGGTGGGGGTGTTTGGGGGTTTTTCTTGTTTGGGGTTTGTTGTTTTTTGAGAGGGTTTTTCTGTGTAGTTCTGACTGTCATGGAATTCACTCTGTAGACTAAGTTGGGCTTGAACTCAGATCCATGTGTCTCTGCCTCTTGAGTGCTGGGATTAAAGGCGTGCACTGTTGCTGCCCAAATTTGATTTTTGTTGGAGGTAGGTTCTTTTGGTGGGGGGGGCGGGGGGAGTGTGACACAGGTTTGGAGCTTTGGAGCCTGTTCTGGAACTTGCTTTGTAGACCAGGCTGGCCTCAAACCCACAGAGATCCACCTGCCTCTGCCTCCTGAGTGCTGGGAGTAAAGTCGTGCTCCACCACCGCCCTGCTGGAGATGCAGTCTTACCCTGTAATTCCGGCTCACCTTTAGTTTATTATATAAACCACACTGGCCTCTGGAGTGCTGGGATCAAAGGCGTGGGACCACCTTGTCCAGCCTACAGATGAACCTTTTTCAAACATGTGAGTGGAGTGTGCACGGTCCATCATGGGGAGGAAGTCGGAGGACACCTCCTACCATCTGGGTCTGACAGATCGAGCACAAATGGTTCTGTTACCAACATTTTTGATCCCTCTGCCTCCATTCTAGTGCTCTAGAATGCCATAGCTGAAGTTTACCTGGATTCTGGTAAACCCCATACACTTTGTCTGGCCTATGACAGGGACTCAGAAACTCATGATGCCTCTTCTTAGCCTTGTGATCATAGTAGACATGGCACCACCAATGGATGGGGAAACACCTCCAAGCAGCCTCTAACTTGAAACAAACCCACCTATTGCTTCTGCCTCCTATGTGTGTTACAGGCAGTTGTGAACCACCCTATGAACTGAACTTGGGTCCTCTGCAAGAGCAGCAAGTTTTCTTAACCTGATTCATCTCTCCAGCCCCTATTTTTTTAGTTTTTTGAGACAATCATTTTTGAATGAACACAGTGCCTGTGCAGGTCAGAAGAGAGTGTAGAATCCCCTGGAGCTAGGGTAGTACTAAGTTGTCTAACACTGGTGCTAGGAACAGGATTCTGGTCCTCTGTATAAGTAGTATGCACTCTTGGCCATTAAACCATCTCTAGCCCCAAGACTTAATATGTAGCCCAGATTCCTGAACTCCATGCAATCCTGCCTCAGCCTCCTGAGTGCTGAGAAGTCACAGCAGACTGGGGGCATGCCTGTGGCTCTTCTTTTCTTATCCAGAATGCCTTCACCTAATTCCAGGCTGGCGAAGTGGCTCGTTGGATAAAGGCACTTACCACCCAACCAAGCCTTGAGGACCTGAATTTGATCCCTGGACCTTCACAGTGGAAGGAGACAAGCAACTCCCACGAGTTGTCCTTTTTGTTTTTTAGTTTGGTAGAACCCATGTTGGCCTGGACCTCAGTATAGAGCTGAAACTAACCTTCAGTTGATTTCTCCTGCGTCCACGTTC